TGCTCCGGGAGCATCAACACACGCCCAGGACACAGTCACTGCGACTGCTCCGGGAGCATCAACACACGCCCAGGACACAGTCACTGCGACTGCTCTGGGAGCATCAACACACACCCGCGACACAGGGTCACAGTCACTGTGACTGCTCCGGGAGCATCAACACATACCTGGGACACAGTCACTGCGACTGCTCCAGGAGCATCAACACACGCCCAGGACACAGTCACTGCGACTGCTCCAGGAACGTCAACACACGCCCGGGACACAGGGACACAGTGAGTGTGACTGCTCCAGGAGCATCAACACGGGCCTGGACAGTCACTGTGACTGCTCCGGGAGCATCAACACATACCTGGGACACAGTCACTGCGACTGCTCCAGGAGCATCAGCACACGCCCGGGACACAGGGACACAGTCGCTGCGACTGCTCCGGGAAAGCCAACATAAGCCTGGGACATGGGCTCTCAAGCTGGAGACAGATGAGCCTGTGTCTGTCCCTGGTATCTGTTCACAGAATGCATCAATATGACTAGCCAGGGGCCACACAGAGGTGCTGACTCTACCAAAGAGGTTCTTCCCCTGCCCTGCAAGGTACCAAAAACTGTGGAGAACATTGACTTGCACTGCTCCCTTGAACTTTTTTTTTTTTTTACTACAGTGGTCACTACCTTCGAGTCAATTCTGATTCATAGCGACCCTGAAGGACAGGGCAGCACTCCCTGTGAGGTTTCAATCCACCAGCATGGGAAGTCTCTTACCAGGAGATTTACTGTCTCTGAAAACCCTCCTGAGGGTCAGATAGGAGTTGGTTCCAACTCCATGGCTCATAACAACATGAGGTTCCCGAGGCTGTAAGTCTTTCAAGGAAGCAGACTGTAGCATCTTTCTTCTACCAACTTTTTGGTTAGTACTTTAACCACTGGACCACCCAGGATTCTATGAAGTGTTTTGGCTTTATTAAGAATTTCCATTTTTAAATTTACAAGTATGACTGTGCACACCATGTAATGTGAAAATCCTGATGGGGCCACATGGCTTTATCCTATAGTACTAATTTTTAGGAGTCCTTGATACAAATAGGCACTGTGTGAAAATGACTACCTACCCAGAGGCTCCTTGGAAAAGAAGTACAGTTATCTACTTCCAAAAAATGAGTCACCGAAAAGTCTATGGAGCACAACTGTACTTGAACCTGACACCCGTGGGGCTGCCATGAGCTGGAATCTACTCAGCACCAACTGGTGACAGGTGCACTAGCCAATGTGAAGGTCCCAAATAAACCAAGTTCATGGAAAAGTCTAGAAATGCAACCAAAGAACGCAGTGCAAGCTTTTATAATTCATAAGATTCCAGCTCTGAACTTTTTATCAGAGCTTCTGGAATAATCTAATGATTGAACAGCTAGCCAGGCAATAAAACCTACCAGTACAAGATGGGAAGACAATCCACTACTTACAACAGAGGTATTGGGAGCAACAATGACAAGAAGCCAAGGAGTCTGGAGAAATTGTATGAGTCATTCATATATTCACTCAAGTATTATCTGTAGCAATAAGTCTCTGAGATGTGCCAAGGACCACCAATGTGCAAGTGGTTAAGCACATGACTACAACCCCAAAGGTCATGGGTTCACATGCATCAGTCAGTCTGCAGGAGAAAGCTGGAGCAAGCAGTCTGCTTCTGCAAAGACTGACGAGCTTGGAAACCGCGTGGAGCAGTTCTGCTTTGTCCTGTCGGGCATCTGTGAGTTGGAATCAACTCATTAGCAATGGGGGTTTTTGTGGGGTGGAGGGGTATAATATGGCCAAGCTCTATTCTAGGCACAAAGATTGTAATGAGATATATAACATCCCTACCAAAGGCACGTGGTCCAGATCCACCAGCCGCACTATGTGAGAGGGGCAGTCTCCTCCCATGTGGTTTCCTGCCTCTGAAAACCCACCGGAGAGTCAGCAATGGGTCATTTCCGACTTGCAAATACACCATAACCGCAGCAACAACTCCTCTTACACTTCATTGGTGGGAAGGGGGAGAGAGGGAGACAGTAAACAAGTCAACAAAACTCATTAATAATATAATGTAAAATACAGCTAAATCTCTTTTTAAAAAATAACTCTGAGTAAGGGGACAGGATGAGTAGTTTAGTGGCTGTTTTTACAGAGTGCTCAGAGAAGGCTTCTCAGAAAGGTGGAATGTGCGCATAGATTTTAATGAACTGAAGGAATCCCGGGGAAAACATCTTGAGAATGAATCTTCTCGGCTGAGTTTTACCAAATGCAAAAGCCCTAGGCCGCCTTTGAGTGTTGTAGACGGTCAGTGATGCTGGAGCGGGGGTGGAGCAGATGGCAGGAGGGGAGGTCAAGCAGGCAGCTGAGAACTAGATTATGAACATCCCAGAAGGTTGTAAACCTTTGACTTATCTGCACGAGACAGAAGACACTGGAGGGTTGTAAGCAGAGGCGTGAGGAGATCTGACTTAACTGACCTCTCTGGCTGCTTGTGAGAAGGGCTGGGAAGGATTCAGATGGAGGCAGGGAGCACAGTCGGGCTGCCGCAGTGTCTAGGAGGGAGATGAAGGTGGCTTGTGCCAGCCTGGCCGGGACAACAGCTCCGGACAGCTTCTGTCTGACTTCACCACACTGCCACACAGATCTTTATTGGAATTACCTCTTTACTTCTCTAGGGCCTCCAGGAGAAAAATGAAATGCTAACCAAGCTACAGAATGAATTATCACAGGCTTGTGAGGCCCTCAAAAATAAGGAGATGGAGCTCGAGAAGCAACAACAAATGGCAGCAGAACAAAACAAGGACGCTAATCAGGAAACCAATGAGGCCCTGAATGCTGAGCTGCAGACACTGAAGAAGTGTCTTGAAGAAGCCAAGCGGCACCAGAAGCTGTCAGGTGAGGCCCCCACCACACAACTAACTCCTCGGCTGACGCCTTAGTCAGAGGGGCTCCCATCTCTCTATTGTCACTTCCCTCGACTTCTCACTCCAGATCTTGTCTGGCCTCATCTTGAATCTCCTGGGGTTACAACCACCTTCCTGAACTCTTAGTCACCCAACCACACCTCCTCTCTGAAGGCACACACACACACACACACAGACACACACACACGGCAGGCACTGTGTTTGGAGGACACGAACTGTTGGACTCACCCACTCCGTCACACACTTTGCCCCAGCATCCCTGGTTTTGAAGTAAACTCTGGTACCTTTGTGGTAAGGAGTAGTTCTGTGGGAGTAAGATGGGCGTTCTCGTCCTGTGTGACTAACTGCCTCTGAAAACCGGCTGAAGGGTCCGCAGTGGATCAGTTCTGTCTCACACGCATGACAGTAACTCCTTTTGGCCCCTGTCAGCATGTTCTCTCCAGAACTTGTACCACATGTCGTGTCCTCACTCATCTGCTGAATCTGCTGCCTCAGAGGCACCAATGATTTCTTGCTGTGGGTGCAAGAGTTCCTTTGGAAGTGAGGAAATGTTCAGGAATTAGACAGGAATGATGAATGCTCCACTCCGTGAACAGTGAAACATACTGTATAATACAATGGGGCAAACATTGGTGGTTGTTGTTGTTATGTGCCGTCGAGTCGCTTGCGACTCATAGCGACCCTATGTACAACAAACAGCCCTAAACTCCGCTCTGTCCTGTGCCAATCGCACTGTCTCTGACACTCCCATCCCGATTACCCCAGTCACTGAATCAATCCACCTCATAGAGGGTCTTCCCCTCCTGCGCTGTCCGTCCACCTTCCCAATCATGAATCTCAATTTTAAAAATGCCAAATCTTGGCTTTCTTGTTCCCCTGCTTTTAACTCCATGTGAGTGTTGGGTGCCTCAACATTTGTTTCTTAGCTCTGGACATACAGGTGGCCCTTTATTCCTCCACAAATCTTAGCACTATTGTCTCTCTCCGTGTGCCCCAACTATAACTGTCTATCCCTTGAGATCCTTTCTCTTCTCCCTCTTCACTCGTTCTTTGGTGAACTTTCCTCCCTGTTGCCACATTTCTTTGTCGATGACCCAAAAAAGCTAGCATCTCAATCTAACCTCACACGTGTGGTCAGTCTCAGCTTTAAGAAATTGCTCCATCTAGGCAACCCCTCTGCTTCAGCATGTCCAAAGAGAATCTACTGTCATCTCCCCTAAAAAGAACCCTCCTCCATCTTTCATCCAGAATGGGCTATTTTTTTCCACAGTTAACACTGTCCTTATTCTAGTATCACAGGCTAGAAGACACAGTGGGAGAAATAGAGGGTAAAGTGGTATTTAAAGTAGAAACCATAGTGCAGAGTGTAGGCTATGGGAGCATACAGGGTGTAGAAGAGAAGCTGTAGGCAATAGCAGGACGTGGCAGGAAACCTCTGATCCATTCAGAAACCTCTAACCCTTCATCCTGATCCATTCCAATTTTGCTAAAATGCTCTTTTCCTTGTGCCGGACCCCTGCTCCAGAACTCAGTAAGTCAAATCTAAACATTTCCTTCAGACTTTTAAAGCCTTCAAACCCACCCGCTTACCTCTTTTTCCCACCACTCCTCTTTCCTTCCCAATTACACTAGTCTCTCACCAGCCTCTTCTCACAGGTCCTCCTCACTCCCCCAGCACGTGTTTACCAGTTCTTCCACCTAGAATTCCTTTCTTCTTAACCTGAGACTCAGCTCAGCTTTCATACTCACAAGTCCATCCAACTATTCTTGCCACTCCAATCACCCTGCTTGTGAATAGAGTCGTGTGAAGTAAGCAGAGCACCAGGTTCTTCATGGCAGCTGGACCAGTTATGGCTCCTTCATTAGACTCTAAGGTCTACAAAGGTCAGGACAACCCTCAGAGGAGATAATGAAACACACTGGAGATATAGGCAGTTTCTCCGAGGCTGTTTGAGTTTGGTTAAGGGGGTCCATCGCTGGAGGGTAGTTGAAGGGAGCTTTAAGAATGATTATGAAGTGGAGAGAAATGAAGCTAGACTTGAAGTAGGTTTAAAAAAAATCTGGGGCTGGCTTTTTTTTGAAAGTCAGAGCTGTCAGGACTTCACACGTGCTCTCTTCTCACACACATATGTCCCAGCTCGTCTCCTGTCTCTGCAGCTCAACAAGCATGTCAAAGTAAAGAACAGGTCTGCCAGACTGAGAAAAAGCTGGAAGATGCCCAGAGGAAAATTCAAAGCTACTGTGCCCTGGACAAGGAAAAGGAAGAGACCATCCAAGATCTACAGAAAGACATTGAGACGAAGCAGCAGGAGTGTTCGAAGGCTAGAGAGCAACTATCAAATAGCAGGTACCACAGGTTCACACCTAGAGAGAGACTGACCATTTTTGAGCCACCTGTGTGTAGGTTGTGTGGTGGTGGTGGTGGCTGTTGAGTGCTGGCGAGTTGAGTACAACTCAGTGACCCTATAAACAAGCGATCTAAACCATGTCCTATTCTGTGCCATCCTCATCCTCTCTGACATACCTGAGCCCATCTGTTGAAGGTCTTCCTCTCCTTTGTTGGCCCTCCACTTTTGCTAGCATGATGTTCTTTTCCAAGTAATAGCCCCTCCTAATAACTTGTCCAGAGTATGTGAGAGAGCTTCATCATCCTTGCCTGCAAGGAGCCCTCTGGCTGCTCTTCCTCCAGGACATATCTGTTCATTCTTTTGGCAGTCCATGTGATATTCAGCACTCTTCGCCAAAACCACAACTCAAAGGCATCAATTCTTTCATCATCATTTATTGTCCCACTCTCAGGTGCACAGCAAGTGATTGAGAAGACCATAGCCCGAATCAGGCACACGTTTGTCTTTAAATGTATCTCATTGCTCCATAGTGGATAGCAAAACTCTCCATGCGGTCATCTCCACTGTCTCCCAACACAGACAATAATGTCCATCCTCCTTGGCTTCTGATTTTAGGGAACAAATGGATGATCTGACATTAGAGCTCACTGAAGCCAAGAGGATGTGTGAATTGTCAAAAAAGGAAAAGCAGCAATTGCAAAAGACAATATGTGAACTGGAATTGAAGCTGAAGGAGACCCTAGAACAGATGAAACAGCTTCAGCATCAGGTATGAAGGGCAAGTAGGTAGCAGTTCAAACATGCACTCAGCCTAACTTAAAATATACTTAACTTTGTTTAGGATGATGTCACCACCAGTGCACTGCAAGCTAGTTGTCCAAAATCTGTGTTAGATTGCCAGGCCCACCACTAGCATCCATTATCACGACCAGTAAGAGATACTGCCACTGTTTAAGAAAAGCCTAACAACAATGTTGTCCTTTCTAGAATTTGAAAGCTATCCTCGTCAGTCAATTTAAAATCTTCGATGTTTAAATTATTCTAGTTAAAATTCTTTTCTAAGTTTTGGTTTTGTTTTTAACTTCCTCCAAAGAGGATTTGGTATGGACAAATTTTGTGGATAAGTGAGAGAGAAGGCTGATACTGTGGCAATTTAGTCTATAAATAAAAGAAATGGGAGCTCTTACTTTGGATATGCTGTTAGGAGGAAACAGCCCCTGGAGAAGGACATCATACATGGTAGAGGGTCCGTGATACAGTGGAAGACTATCAATGAGAAGGACGGAGATAGTGGCCACAGTGGTGGGCTCACACGTAGCAACAGCTGTGAGGACGGCACAGGGGCAGGACGGTGCGTCATTCCACAGGGTCACTATATGTTGGAACAACAACATGGTGACGGAAATGAGGCTGGAGACAGAATGACAGAATTATGTGCAATGATTTAGTCATTGAAAATACCGTTTTGCTTTTGTTTTGTTGTTGTTGTGTACTGTCAAGACAGATCCAACTGGCACAGGAGGAAATTGCCCCTCTGCCGCCAGAGGGATTCGAACTGCATGCCTCTGGGATTGCAGCACAGCTTCTTGCCTCTAGGCCAGCAGAGTTCCCTGAAAATACCTGTTATAGAAACATTACTATACACATGGACCTCACCTGATGGCCTACACAGGAATCAGATTGATTACATCTGTGGAAAGAATTGCTGGAGAAGCTTAATATCAGCTGTGAAAACGAAGTCAGGTGCTGATTGTGGAACAGATCATCAACTACTCATATGCAAGTTCAAACTGAAGCTAAAAAAAGTCAAATCCACAAGAACCAAAGTTTGTCCTTGAGTCTGTCTCTCCTGAATTTAAAGACCATCTCGGGAACAAGTTTGAAGCCTTGAACACTAATGAGCGAAGACCAGACGACCTGTGGGAGGCTATAGAGAATAAAATCCAGGAATAATGCAAAAGGTCATTACAAAGATGGAGGAAAAAGAAAAGACCAAGATGGATGTCAGAAGAGACTCTGAATATTTCACTAGAGTGCTGAGAAGCTAAAGAAAGGGAAGAAATGAAGATGTTAAGGAGCTGAACAAAAGACTTCAAAGGGCAGCACTTAAAGACAAAGCTAAGTATTACAGTGTGCAAAGAGCTGGAGCTGGGAAATCAAAAGGGACAAGCTCAGCATTTCTTAAGCTGAAAGAACTAAAGAACAAATTCAAGCCTTGAGTTGCAGTACTTAAGGATGGATGCTGTAGGCAGAATGTTGAATGATCCAGGGAGCAAAAAAGAAGATGGGAGTCACTATAACAAAAAAGAATTGGCTCACACAGAAGAATTTTTCTAAAACAACATATGATGAAGAGACAATGGTGACGAAGGCAGAAGTTCAAGCTGCTCTGAAGAAATTCAGGGGGAAAAAGCCCCAAGAATTGACGGCATACCAATTGACATATTTCTGCAAACAGATGGTGCCCTGTTGCGCTCACCCGGTTGTGCCAAGAAATCTGGAAGACAATCCCCTGGTGAACTGACTGGAAGAGATCTGTATTTATTCTAATTCCAAAAATGATGATTTGACAAGAGTGTGGAAATTATCGAACAACATTAATATTACATGCAAGCAAGATCCTGCTGAAAATTATCAACAAATGATGGGAACAGCACATCATCACCAGAGAACTGCCAGATGTGCAGGCTGGACTTAGAAGAGGCCATGACATTAGGGATATTATAGCCAATGTTAGATGGATCTTAGCTGAAAGCAGAGAGCACCAGAAGAATGTTTATCTGTGTTTCATTGACTATGCAAAGGCATTTGACTGTGTGGATCACAAGAAACTGTGGCTAACTTTGAGAAGAATGGGAATCCCAGAACACATGACTGTGCTTATGTAAAACCTATACTTGGACCAGGAGGGAGTTATCAGAACAAGGAAACATTGCATGGTTCAAAATTTGGAAAGGTGCATATCAGGAATACATCTTATCTTACCTTTTCTATCTATATGTGGAACACATCATCTGGGAGGCTGGGCTCTATGAGGAGGAATGTGGCATAAGGATTAGAGGAAGACTTATCAACAACCTGCAGTATGCAGAAGACACAACCTTGCTTGCCAAAACTGACTGAGGAAGACCTGAGGCATTTACTGCAGAAAGTCAAAAACTGCAGCCTTCAATATGGATTGAAGCTCAATTTCAAGAAACCAAAAGATTCTCACCACTGGGCCAAATGGCAGTATCATAATATGATAGACGGAGAAGAGACTGAGATTGTTAACAGCTTCAGCTTGCTTGGCTCCATAATCAACACTCTAGGTAGGTAGGTACCAACAGCCAGGAAATCAAAAGACTAATGACACTGGGGAAATCTACTGTCAGGGACCACTCCAGACTACTGAAGAGCACTGATGTCAGTCTAGAGATTACGGTGCACCTGATCCAGGCCATGGTCTTAATAATTACTTGCTATGCATCAGAGAGCTACACAGTGACTAAGGATGATAGGAGAATCGATGTCGTTGAATTGTGGTGCTAGAGAAGAGTACTGAATATACCATGTACGGCTAAAAGAGCAAATAGACCTGTTCTAGAGAGGGTGAAACCAGACTGTTTCTTGGAGGCAAGGATTTGGAAGCTTCATCTCACATACTTTGGGCATGTTGCCAGGAGGGACCAGGACATCATGCTTGGAAGGGTTGAGGAACAGCGCAAGAGAGAAAAACCCTCGATGAGATGGTTGACTCAGTGACTAGGGTAATGGGGAGTCAGTGTAGGAGAAAATAAAATTGGTTCAAAATAGAGCAGGTTTCAGAGCTGTTGTACATATGGTTGCTATGAGTCACAAGCAACTTGATGGTACATAAAAACAACATATATATGTATTCAAGCCACTCCCTGTGTGCAAGGTGGACTTTTCAAATATTTGTCTTAAATATGTTATTGTTTTCTGCTGTTGAGTCAGAACTGACTTAGAGCTAGCCCTCCTGCGAGCTTTTAGGGGCTACAGATCACACAAGTGGAGACTGCCCATCTTTCTCCCACGGAGCAGCTGGTGGATTCAAACCACCTGCTTTTGGGGTGGCAGCACAACTCCTTACCCACTAGGTCATCAAAACTCATCACGTGTGACATTTCAAATGGAAAAGAAGCCACCTTCTGAAATAGAATACAGTCTAAAACCATCTTTCAGCCTGGTCTTTATTTTCTCAGAACAAAGAGCAAGCCTGCATCAAAGACAGCCTAGAAGATGAGCTGCATGAGGTAAAAATCACACTGGAGGAGAAACAGCAGCTGTTGAAAAAGCACAAAGAGGAGGGGAAAATGGTAGAGAAAGAACTCGAGTCATGCCGACAGGAAGAAAGAAAGAAGGAAAAGACGGTGAGGAAGAGAATCTGGGAGACTCAGGGTCATGGCCTCGGGGCCCGAACAGGAACCTGGCCAAGCCTTAACAAATACCGAGGCCTTGGGTACTCAGAGCACAAAAGAGGGGGCGGGCATTCTTGGGAAAGCATGAAAGGTGAGTGAGGAGGTTCTACAGGGTGAAGGACGGAGCCCTGTGTGAGAGAAGGAACCCAAAACTAAAGCCGTAATTGCTATAATGGATTCTGACTCTTACAGAACTTATAGGATAGAATACAACTGCCCACAGGCCTTGCAAGGCTGTTTTCGTTTCCAAAGCAGATTGCCTTATCTTTTTCCCTGGAGAAGCTGTTGGTTTGAACCACCGACCCTTTGGTTAGCAGCCCCGTGCCTTAATAAAGTGCTAGTAGGCCCCTGTGATAGGACGAGTCGGGCTTTTGTTGGACCCCTTTGATTAACACTTCTTTTCTGAGTTTTGTTCTTTAATGGGGGAGCAGTCTAAGGAGAACATGAGGAAGTTGGAAGCAGAAAAGGAAAATCTCCAAGCAGAGCTGTTGCAATGTTCTGCACAACTAGAGGCCTCGGCCAACAAGTACAACATCGCCCAGGAGACGATTGAAGAGCTGAATAAAGAGGTAAGCCGGCTGAACCCCATGAGGTGAGACCCTGGGACCCTGGGACCCTTGTCCTGAACCTGCATCTGTTTCTCCTCCACCACAGAACGCACTCATTGCCCAGCCTGCGGTGCCTTCTGTGGCGCCTGCAGCTCCACCTCCCTTTAATGAGGGGTGAACCATCAGCACCCAGTGACTGAGCCATAAATATGTTTACTTCATGTTTTTAAAGAAACCAAGAAGCTTTTCTTTAACTCATAGTGAAGGCCCCCAAACTCAGTATGCTTGGGCATATAAAATTCCATGTGTTTTAACGTAACAGAGCTTTCTTTAGATGTCTGGCATCAAGTTCCAGTGTTGCATATTAGATCTGAGATGAATCAGTTTGCAGCCGTTCACTAGAAAATACTTCCAAAATTACTCCTAAACTTTAAAAAAAAAGGATTGGATGAGAGATGGTTATTTTCCATTAACCAAATAAGGATAATGAAGAAAGTGAATGGTATCTGATCTATGCTAGCATTTGTGCTTAATTCAGGCATCACTCCTTGATTGTGTAAGACCTTTGCATGCCTGCCATCTGCTTGCCTCCCAATAAGATATGCACTGCTGTGACTGCCCTCTCATAGATGAAATAATGTCTGAGGATCTAAGTCAGTAATTAGCAAGTGATGGGAAGAACCAGTATTGGAACCTGGATCATCTGGTTACAACGTTTGTCCTCTGTCCTTCTCATCATGAATGGCAACCCCCTGTTGAATGTTGTTGTTGTATACTGTCAAGTTGGAACTGACCCACAGCTCACCCTCTAGCAGGTTTTGAGAGGCAGTAAATCACAGGGGAGCAAAGTGTCCATCCTCCCACAGAGCAGCTCGTGAATTGAAACTTCATACCTTTAGTTTGGCAGAGCAGTTTCTTACAATTAAGCCACCAGAGCTCCTTCCCGAAGTGAATACATGTAATTTTTCTGGGCAAGAAACAAATACCGACGTTTGGGAGATAGTGTCTTAATTATAAATCAGATCAAGCAGCTCTGATTCCTTCATAATGTCAAAAAAGGTGGGGAGGGGTTGATTATAATAGTATGACTACACCAAGGAGCCCTGGTGGTACAGTGGTCAAATGCTCAGCTGCCAACTCACAGGTTAATGGTTAAAACCCACCAGCATCGCTGTGGGGGGAAAAGACCTGGAGGTCTATTCACACAAATATTCCAGCCTAGGAAACACTATGGAAGCTCTGCTCAGTCATGTACGGCTGTTGTGAGTCTGAATCATTTCAACTGCACACAACAGCAACAACCTACTCAGTGAAAGGATAGTGTAGCCCAATGGAACATTTTGTGATTATGGAAAAGTTTTCTATCTAAGCTCTCAGTACAGCTGCCACATGTGACTATTGAGTGCTTGGAATATAATTACGGAATTTGATATATAATTGTAGTTAATACTAGCTAATTTTCATTTTATTTAAGTGTAAAGAACCGCATGTGGCTAGTGGTTATCATATTAGAGGGCACAAGCTCAAGGAATTGCTGTTTCTGGAGCTCTTTCATCCAGAAATAAGTGTCTTAACCATTAGTGTGATCCAGAGTGGAGCTCCGAGTCCCCTCAGTTCCTCCCTGAATGTAAGGAACCCTGGGTTAAGTACGGAACTCCAATGGCATGACAGGTATTGTGTTTCACTGCTAACCAAAAGGTCACTGGTTCAAATCCACCGGTGGCTACATGACATAAAGATGAGCAGTCTTCTCCCGTTAAGATTTACAGCCTTGAAACCTTGGTGGACGGTCACTATGAATTGGAACCAAGTCAACAGCAGTTAACGGCTGTCCCTGAGTATTTGTCATGGGCCTTTTGCCCCATTTCCCAAAAGAAAGGCAGCTTTGTGAACGTGGGAAATAAAAGCATGAAAATAAAAATTCCAGCTTTCTCGGGTCGTGGTGAGCGCAGAGAGGTCACTGTGAAGGCTTCTGGAACACTTTGTGAGTACAAAGTGGTGGGGCGCTGCCTGCCCACCCCCAAGTGTCGGACTCCACCACTTTACCGCATGCGCATCTTTGCCCCCAACCATGTTGTTGCCAAGTCCCGCTTCTGGTACTTTGTGTCACAGCTGAAGAAGTTGAAGAAGTCTTCTGGGGAAATTGTATACTGTGGGCAGGTGTTCGAGAAGACCCCCTTCCTTGCGTGTGAAGAACTTTGGCATCTGGCTGCGCCAAGACTCCCGCAGTGGGACCCACAACATGTACCGGGAATACCGGGCCCTGACCACCGCAGGAGCTGTCACCCAGTGCTACCACGACATGGGCACTCGGCATCGTGCCAGGGCCCACTCTGTCCAGATCATGAAGGTGGAGATTGCAGCCAACAAGTGCCGCCGACCTGCAGTCAAGCAGTTCCATGACGCCAAGATCAAGTTCCCACTGCCCCACCGGGTCCTACGTCGCCAGCACAAGCCACGGTTCACCACCAAGCGGTCCAACACCTTCTTGTAGGCACAGCCCCTCTGCCTCATCCCAGTTTGCACAATAAAACGCCTTGGGGATTGACACTGGGTTAAAAAAAAAAATCCATCGAGTATTTTCTCAAAGGAGTGTGGGAAGAATAGTGTTAGTAAAAATGCTTATGTTTTTAAACTACAGCTCTGACTACTGGAAATGTGCTGGGAGGGAGAACTGGGCATATAAGTGAGGAGACCAGTTACAAGACTCTAGCAGGCCCGGCAGAGAGGTAGTAATGCATACAGCAGTGAGTTCCTGCCAGGATGTCCATTAGCAGCAGAACTGACCAGGACGGCTAGCAGGGTGAGTGTGAAAGAAAGAGGAATAACAAATGGCTTGATGGAATTCGCCTAGAACACCTCTAGACCTAATGCCTTTGAGGAAGGAGTCGATCCTTCAGGAGAACTTTTTGTTAGACTCCTGATTCTGTGGTTTACCTGTGTCTGTATCTTTTTAGGGAGCTCTGGTAGCGTAGCTCAGAGGGTGCTGTGCCGTAACCCAAAGGCTGTACCTCTTTGGCCGTTCAAATCCACCAGTTACCCTTGAGAGATCACAATGGGCGATCCCCTCCACTGTGATTTACAGCCTCTGAAAACCCGCTGGAGTGTCAGCTAGGAGTCAGTTCCAACTTGATGGCAATGAGAGATATATTTTTTTAAGTTGATTTCTCTCCAAGATAAACTTAGACTTAATATAAAGTGCTCATTTTAGCTTCTAACATCAAGCTTCTCTCCACCACCACCCAAAAAGGAAAAGCCCAAAAGCCACTGCTCTCGTGTTGACTCTGACATGGAGTGACTCTCCATCAGGTTTCTGAGCTCTCACTCTTAGTGGGAGTGCATTCTTGTCTTTCTCCTACTGACCAGGGGTATATTCGAACCCCTGGAGATGCACAGCCTTTTGGTCAGCAGTGCAGCCCGCTCTGGACTGTGCCACCACCAGGACTCCTCGCCACCTGCACAGTGACGTTTTTTAGGATCGCACCTCCTCAGAGGCATTTCTCAGTGCATCCACCACATTCAAGAATTAACAGTGAATTCCTGTTTCTCCAATGACCCCCCTCTAACTCCATTTTTCAGAAACCTCAAAAAAAGATGCACTCCAGTTCCTAGAAGACTAAATTACTGCATGTTTAGGAAGAGTGTTACCTTGAGGCCATGGAAAATGTGGGTCAGAAATCCAATCTGACATTTTTTTTGTTTGTTTCACTAATTCCAAATGAGTCAAATTTCCATCTAAAAAAGTAGTAAATGTCAAGAATTGAGAAGTTCCCAATGGCAAAGAAAGGCGATGCTGAAGCTGCACTGGAGGCAATGGCAAAAAATAAGGCCCAGGAATTGGTGGAATATCAACTGACATATTTCAACAAAAAGGCGCAGTCATGGACATGCCCATTAGCCTATGCAGAGAAAGCAAGCTCCTTGGCCAAATGACTAGCAGAGTTCCACATTTGTTCCTGTTCCAGAAAAAGGTGACCCAACAGAATGGGGAAATTATCATAACTGCCACCTCCATGTTTTTACTGGCATGAAGCAAGGTCTTCTTGTTGAAGATTCTTGAAAAATATGACTAGAACAGTACAGTCAGAGTAATATATGGTCATCCGACTCAAAATGCCCCATGCCAGTCCATCTCATCTCACCAATGCCTAGTATGTCAATATTTATGCGTTCCATTTCTTCCTTAACAATAT